CAACCGCACGCGGGATCGCCTCATCCGGGATCGAGATCATCTCGATCTTCAAGTCCGCCAGCTGCGAACCGACGTCCAGGACATGGAAGTGTTCCAACGCGACCAGCGAGACGAGATCACCCGCCTTGAGGCCGAGATCTCAACTCTCACGCACGATGCTGGTGACGATCCTGACGGCCTCCACGCCCAAGTTCTCCAACTTCGTACCGAGCGCAACGACTTCGAACGTCGCACGATTTCGGCACGCGAAGATCTTAATCATGCTGAGGCGGATCGGGATCGCCTGCGTCTGGAGGCCACCCAGGCCGGCGACGAGATCCGGGGCTTGCAGGAGCAGGTCTGCGTTTTGGAGCGCGCGACCGACGATGCGAGATCCGAATCAGCCACCGCTCTCGCCAGCTACAACCGGATCTCTTCTCAGCTCCCGTTGCCGCAACAGGATCACGGAGGGGAATCCTCCCTTGGACAGTCTAACCGTCTGGCCCAGGCCGACCGGAATCGCGCTTTGGCGGATCTTGCGCTCGCTCGAGCGACTCTGACGCAAGTCACCTCCGATCGAGATCGGGCCTTCAAGCAACTCGCCCAGACTACCGAAGATCGGGATCGGGCGCTCGTCGATTGCGACACGGCCCTCCAGCACCGAGATCAGACGATTGCAGAGCGCGATCAGGTCCGCCTGGATCTCTACACCGAGGCTGCCCGCGCCGCCCAACTCGACGATGATCTCGGAGTGGTTCGCTTGGAGCTTCAGGGATGGGAGGGCAGGATGGCGGATCTCTAGCTTGCCCACGACCAACTCGGCAAGCTACGAGATCTCACCGAAAGTGATCTGAACGAAGCGGACACGCCTGCGGGATCGGCGAGAGCCAAGCAACTCGGATACCGAAACGCGAACGAAGCCCGTCCAGTTCACCTCCCCAACTACCGCCTCTCAAGGCCCCTCGCAGTGATCGGCCTACTTCTCCACCGCCTGACCAAGACCAGCCCGAGGTCGAGGGTCAGGAGCACGAGGAAATCGAAGATCAGCCCGAGATCGAAGGTCCGGAGGGCGAGGGAACTGAAGATAAGCCCGAAATCCCAACCGGAGGTGGAGGCGGTTCGGATGATGGCGGCTCCTCTCCTTCCGATCATGACCCTCGACGCCTCCACCGACGCCTCCCGGATCTCCCGGAGGGAGTCCCGGTGGTGGTTCCCCCGGCGGTGGCTCACCTCTCCGAGGCGAGTATTCCTCTGTATTCTACGGTCAAGATTTTCACCGCAGTCGAGATCGCCCCGTGGGATCCCGCCGTCGTGGGGACAGTACCGATCCTCGTCATGATCCCGGCGACATTGACCAAACGGTTGCCGATCCCGCCTGGCTTCCTGTTCCCTGTTCGGACGCCCTTTGTCCGGGCTCCCATACCCGTGACCGGTTACCGTTCGGAGCTGATCACTGGTGCCAACGTTTTGGCTCTGATGGCTACGGAGCTGTGGCGCTTACTTCGACAGAATCACCCCACTCCGCTGACTTTTGACCACAACCTCCACCGGCGGGATGCGACCCCGCTATGGCGGATCGCCGTATCATATGCGGCGCTGGAGGAGGATCACCTGATAGCGTATTGGGAATCGACCCATTACCTCGAGATCACGAAGGCGATGGCCGCCGCGGACCATGATCTTCTCGTCTACCATCAAGACCGACGTCAGCGACGCATCCGCGCTGGAGAAAGTTGGAGGAGAATGTTGGGGGAGGTTGTGCTAATGATGAGGGCTCAGTGGGCCGATATCGATGTCCTCCTGGATCCCTATTTCCTCCACCTGCCGACTACCCGGGATTGGCTACGTTGGTATCCTGGATCGGTCTCCCGCGCGACCAATCTTGCGCAGCCGACGGCGAATCTCCCTGAGCCGACCGACCTGTTGTTCGAGTGCGATTAAGCGGACCCTTGGCGAAACCATTATCGCGATCCCTGTTCCGCTCACCCATCGTTGCAGATCCCTCGTCTCGTGAACAAGTTCAACCCTCCGGCGGCCCCTTGATCGTCGATTTACTTTCCGCGCGACGCCAACTTCCGTGATCTCTACCTTCTTCCCGTGATCGCGCTTCTTCCTTGATAATCTCGTAATTTCCTAATTCAGCCGCATCTTCTGCTTGTTTGCTCTTTTCGTCGCCATTCCTACGTGATCTCTCTTCCGACTCCCCATGTCTTCCGTGATCTTTTGCGAAGGCTTCCATATGCACATATACAACATGAATTCCTGATCTCGGTCTTTGTCTGACCGGTGTTCCCTCGGGGTCGAGGCGATCAGGTAGCCTCACGCCGTTCTCCTTACATCTCCTCATGTGATTGTAGCCCGTTCTCGTAGGAAGGCATTCAGTATTGCCCCGCAGTTGAGATCGGCTTCGTCGACCCAGGTCGGCTCATCATATCCTGCCCAATGAACCAGGAATTCTCGGTAGATCCGACCAAATCGCGTCTTCTTCCCACACCGCACATCCGAGATCCGCTCGACTTCGTACTCATCGGCCCCGTGATCCGGGACCCAACTGTCCTCCGGAAGCAGGATCTCATCGAAATCGAGCCGATCCGCCTCATCTACCGTAAGTTCCACTCGCGGCCGATCAGGAAAATCCTTGACCAATTTCAGCTTCGACACGTGCACTACTGGGAAGATCTACCTGCGATCTCGAGCTTGACACTGAATTCGTTGATCTTCTCGGCGACTCGGAACGGCCCGTGTCACAGGTGGTCCAATTTCCGCGCGTATTCCTCCTTCACCCGATCTAAGTATAGCCAGACGCGAGATCCGGCCTCGATCTGGTGCTATCCGACATCCTCGTTGTGTCGACCTGCCCGATCTGCAATGGCCTCCTTCAATCTAGCGTTGAATTGCTCTCGGGACTGCTGATGATATCGCTGGACCCGATAACGCCACCGCCGAGCGCCTCGATTGCGCCGTCTCGTGCATCTGACTGGCAGTGTAGCCTCCAATGTTGATCTCGGATCCCACCCATGCACCAAGTAGTGAGGGGTATCTCCTCGGATCCAATCGTGAGCCGTGTTGATCGCGAAGGTAAGCCGCTCAGCATACTCATCCCAATCCTTCTGATCTAGATCGCGAACATACATCTTGAGTGCCCTGGTCGCCGTCAGTACCAGTCTTTCTGCAGTCCCGTTGGCTTGTGGTCAATATGTCATTGTCGCCCGCTGCCGTTGTCCCAGGATCTTGTTAAACGCCCGGAAGAAATCGGACATGAAGCCGGGTTCTCGATCATGCCGGATCATCTCAATGGCACCAAATCGCCGAAATACACACCCTTCGTACGATTCCGCGACCGTCTGGGCCGATCGGGACGAGCTAGCTTTCGCGATCACATATCCTGTAAACAGGTCGACCCAGATCAGTAACTCCGAGTTTCCTTTGTGGGATCTGGGCGGCGACGGTATATAATCCATCGCAATGATCTGGAACGGGTATGTCGCCTGCAAATTCACTGGTGATTCGCCCCGGATCACCGGTTTCCCTTTTCCTGTTTCGCAATCCACGCATTCCCCCACATATCACTGAACACTCCGGTATAATCCCCTCCAGTGGAACTGATCCCTGATCCGCTGGTAGGTACGCCCCACTCCCTGATGTCCTCCTTCCAACGTGGTGTGATAGTGGTGTAAGACGTCCGATTGCAGCGTTTCAGGAACTACCAATCTCAGCAATCGGTCGTGATCGTCCCCCGATCTCGGCGTGGGAGGGCAGTAAAAGAGTAGATCCTGCTCGTCTACCTCGTAGTCAGCCGCGATCTTGCCATACGATCTCGCTTCCGCTTGTGTGAGATCTGCGATCGAGCCACTCAGGTACTTCTTCATGGCGGCGATCCAGACTTCTTCCTCCTGGGCCCGCTTAATCCGATCGACCCGGATCTCCCGGATCAGATCCTCTTGCATGACACCCGCCTGTGATCTTGCTCGACCAGCTCGAGTGGTCACCGCAGCAACTCGTACCACTGGATTCTCGGTCTTAGGGATCAAGATTTCGTCTAACCGGTTCAGGGTAACTAGATCCTGGTACCCGGGCATCTCCTGGATCTCGATCCCCCCTTGTCGTTGCAAAGCGGTGCTCGCTAGACTGTCGGCACTTCCGTTCCAGTCCCTCTTGACGTGCACCAACTCATGATCACTCCATTTCCTGAGGCGATGGAGGGCTTTCCGTTTCAATAGCGTCAGTCCGGGTGCTTTGCTCTCGATCTCACCCCGTACTTGTCGGATCACTAGGTTGGAATCCCCGCAGACCACAAGGCGTCTGCGATCTAAGCTTTCTAGCATGTCGAGACCCAGGATCAGGCCGTTATACTCGGCTTCGTTCACGGTGAGGCTCTCGAGATAGCCTGATCTGGCCTTGACCACCTCCCATCCGGGCAGACTCCACACGATCGTGCTGAACGCGCCCCCACCACGCTTAACACGAGCGGATCCGTCAAAGCTGATCACCCATAGTTCCTCGTCTCGATCTACGGTGGGTATCGGTGCTTGGATCCGGCGTTTAGGCTCCTTCCGGGGAGCGATTTCGGTCAGAGCATCGTCTATCTTCGCCCTCGGCGTGATGCTGGCCGCGATCGCCCCCAGTATCTCGTCCTCGCCCTTCGTGCACTTCGTGATCTCGAGCGTCCACGGGACAAGGAGAGCGGACCAATGTCCTAGGCGACCCTCCAATCCTGTCGACTTGAACAGCCAGGCCAACGTGGAATGCCCCGTTAGGACCCGGATCTCGCGTCCTACTAGCAAATTGTAATAGAGATCCAAGATCCTCAGCAGTGCCAACACCTCCTTCTCAGTCACATTGTAACTCAACTCGTTCGTCTTCAAGGTGCGACTGGTGAACGCCACCGGATGATAGATCCCGTCGAGTTCTTGCGTCAACGAGGCGGATATCGCCCAATCGCTGGCGTATACGATAACTACCGGCGTTCTCGCCTCGTCGAAATGGCGGAGGATTGGGGTAGTCGCGGTCTTGGTTTTCAGGGTGATGAAGGCCCTATGTGCCCTGATCCACCTCTCGTCCACTGGTCCCGTCAACTTCAGTTCCGGTGGGCCGTGATCTCGAGGAATCGGGTCGTTCCGGTCCATGATCTCCCTCAGATCCGATCGTTTCTCCAGTTCTGCAGACTCCACCACCCGTAATTCGTAGAGCACCGAAGCATAGATAGCATAATCTTCGATGAATCGGCTGTAGTAGTTCAAACTGCCCAGAAACGACTGCATAGATCGCAATGATGCGGGGAACGGCAGATCGGTCAACGATTTCAGGTCTTTCGGGCTCGCCTCCAAACCTCCTATCGACACTCGGTGTCCCAGACTTCCTACCTTATCCATGCCCCAAAAGCTCTTGGCTACACTGATCGACAAATTCCACTTATCACAGGCTTCCAACAGATCTTCCACTCTTTGGCACCCTTGATCCCACGATTCCGCTGCGATCATGATGTCGTCGATGTATGATCTCCATCCCAACACTGAGTCCCGATCAGGATCGTCCGCGATCCCGGCTGGAACACGTCCGTTGTTGTTTCAGCATCGCCTGATGGCGAGATCTTCAAAAACCCATACAGCGCGTTGTCTACGAGCCATTGATAAATCTGCGGGGCATTCTTTAGGCCAAAGGGCATGCGACTCCATTCGAATAGTCCAAACGGAGTGATGAATGCTGAAATCTCGCGAGCCCGATCCGTCATGGGCACGACCCAGAAGCCGCTGGCCATATCTAGCGAGCAGTACCATAGTGCTTTATCAAGATCCTCTAGCGGATCGCTGATCAGGGGCATAGGGTAGACCATCAGCCTCGTGAGGCTGTTTACCAGCTTGTAATCGATACACAACCTGATGTCGACGACGTTACTCTTGCGAACAATCACGATCAGCGAAGCCCATGGCGATGTCGAGGGTCGGATGATCTCGGCGGCCAGTAGGCCCTTGATCAGGCCTGCGACTTTTTCGCGAAATCGCGTGAGCACTTTCCGGGTTCGCAGTGCGATCGGTTTCGCATTTCCAACATCGATTTCACATACGACGCCCTTGGCCGCCGGGGGTAAGGCATTCCCTTTGCCGATCAGAAGACGTCGCATCTTCCAGATTATCTGCCGGAGTCTCTCGATCTCCTCGGGTGTGGCCGATCCGGAGTCTCCCACCTGCAGATCCTCAATGCTCACCTTCGCAGTCGTCGAGATCGGGATTTCGGGGAGGACAGCCAGGTTTTCTTCAAGATCTTCACCTGAGAGATCGCCACTGTCATGGTAATATTTCCTCATCGCCCTCGGCATCTTGTGGGGTGGTCGCTGTAGCTCCTTCCGCCGGCGGATCTCGTTGTCCGGCGCCCTCAGTCGGGCAGATCGGGAGTTTTGCGTCGGGTTCTTCGCCGGGATCGAGTTTGATCTGGGCTTGATCGAGTTGGATCTGGGTTTGATTTTCCGTTTCCGGCTCGATATCCTTGGTGCCAGTCTGATTCTCCGTCTTGATATCCTTGGTGTCCGTCCGATTGGTGGCCTGGTCCGGCATGCTCTCACTTATCCCGCCGCCCTCAGCATCAACGCTCAGGTATCGATCGGCATCAGGGCTAGTCGTTGGTGTAGATAGGCGTCCGCCATTCCCGCCCTCGGTCGAGACTCTAGGGTCGATCTCTGTCAATATCATCGGGTCCCGGCCGGCGAAGTATCGATCGTGGCGTGGGATACGATGGTCGTAGTACTGCCGGCTCCGCAAGGCCCTCTATAAGTTCAGGGGGTACGATCTAGTATCTACCGTCGATTCGAATGCCAGATTCTGCCATTCCCGATAGCGACGTGACCCGACGGACACGAACCCTGGGGATCGAGGCACTTTGTCCTGATCCAGTACCATACCAACGTCCAGACGGTGGTCCAGCCGTAGGATCTCTCCTCCGATGTTCGAGATCACCAGGTAGCGGATCCGACCGGGGCCCTCCGTCACGGTCGGTACCTATCGTTCTCCTCTGGTCACCCACAGTTTTCCGTGGCCGACAATTTTATCCTCGCCGCTGTTTCTTCCGACCGGCCGACCGGGATTCGTAGAGATCGTCCGGGAATCACCGATCTCACCTTCCCGCCATACAGTCTCTTACGACCATTAAGCGGTATTCCAACTTCGTCAGGTAGCCGCATCGATCCGTCGGCGAGGTCCATCCATACACCGGCTGGGACCATAAAATCCATGCCCAGGATCGCCTTCTGTCCTGAGAGATCTCCGATCCAGATGTCGAAACAATATACCAGATATCCCGCCAGAGTGATCTTGATCTTGGTTCTTCCTTCCGTAGTATATACGTTATCACCGATTCCCACACATTCCTGACTTTGACTAGTGTCAAAATTGCATCCCACCTTACGAGCAAAGGTGGTATCCAAGATTGATACCTCAGCACCAGTATCTAGGAGGTGGATCGCTCTCTCATGATTGATCCTTCCCGAGATCTTGGCTCGTCGGAACCATTTCCACGCGGAATGACGTTTCCAATACCCCGGGACTCTCCTCTTTTGAGATCTAAAGCAACCTCCGCATTAGATCTGCTGAATTCGCTGATCTGGGGAAGACTCGCGATCTTGGCGGTGTACGAATGCAAATTACATGTATTACCGCGTAGATACGATTCCCTCCTAGCTCGATCTGCCGTCGCCTTGTTCACATAGGCTTAGATGCAATATCTAGAACGCTCGGATTGTACCCGATTCCACCCCGGCGAGCGTCCTACTTTAACATCTTCTCGACTTGTTCGGGGAACAGCCCGGCGTGTCGAGT